CATTGAATCCTGAGATTCGGGTGGAGGGCCCCGTTCTGGGATAGGAGGTCCGGTCGTAAAGGTAATATAACAGGAGGCTGAGCCAGAAACCTGAGTATTACTGGAAACCCACTCTGCGCCGACTAAAGAGGTGCCAGGAGCACAATTAGTCGCGCAGGCTGAGTGCCTAGCTGAGACAGGACCTTGGAAATCAGAGGTACTGGGGAGAATGCCCACAGAACTGTCCGTCCAATCTAGCTGAAAGGCGTCCGGTGCCACCGACCTCGGGTCGTGGACTCGGGAGCAGAACGTTGGTGTCTGGTTATTTAACCCAGACGCAAACAGATCCACCTGTAACGACCTGTATAACAGGGAGAAAATCCCGAATATCCCCGGGTCGAGCCTCCACTCGTGAGGAGCGAGGATCCGGCAAGACAGAGCGTCCGCACGGACGTTGTCCACCCCCGGGAGATAAACAGGTAGCACCCTGATATCGTGAGAGTCGCACTATAGTAGGAACTGCCACGTCTTTCGTCGAAGCGACGGAGACGCCGTTCCCCCGCCGTTTGGTTGTCCATCTCTAGACGAACCACTTGGCCACGAAGCAGATCCGGGAAGCGTTGGAACACCAACCTGACCGCTCTCAGTTCTAGCACATTGATATGCAGTTTGATCTCCTGCTGGGACCATAGTCCCGAGGCAGTGTGATCATTCAGAACGCCTCCCCAGCCGGAGAGTGACGCGTCTGTTTGAACTGTGAGAGACGGAACGGGAGTGATTCCCGACCTCGGTCCACCACTGGAGGTGTGTAATGAGCCACTACGGAGTCTCGAGCACAGTCTCGAGATCTTCCGAGTTCGCCCAAAGTCAACGGAGTGCTTGTTGAATGGGACTCATTCTCAAGCGCGCCCGCCAGACCAAATCCACTGTCGCCGCCATGTTGTCCAGTAACTGGAGCCATGTACGAGCAGTGTGACTTGCGCTTAAGGGACTTGATATCTTGTGACAGAGATACACGTCCTCTCACCGTGTTGAAATTAGCCACTAGGAAGACTAGATTCTGAGTGGGGCTCAGATCTGACTTCTTGAGATTGACCATCCACCCTAGAGTGATCAGAATATCTATCACTTGTTGTGTAGCTATCTGACTCAGGGATTGCAATAGAGCTCTTAGTAACCTAGTCGTCGAGGTACGGATGGCAGAACCGACCTTTTGACCTGGCCACTTGGGCGGGAATCAACATCAGCTTGGTGAACACCCTCGGGGCCGTGGAGATCCCGAATGGTAGAACCCTGAACTGATAACACCTCCCGTCGAAAGAAAACCTCAGGTATTTCTTGAACTCTGGATGTATTGGTATGTGGAGATAGGCGTATTTTAAGTCTATTGACGTTAGCCATTCTCCTGTCTCGACAGTTGAGATCACTGTTTGGTGACTAGGAAACAAGTCGAGTAGAAGCCCTCGCTTTCCTGTCCCTCGGGACCCGGTTCGATCGCAGCTTTCATAAGAAGTGCGTCGACCTCGGCACGGAGGAATTCCGCCTTCTCTCGGGTAGCAGGCACCGGTGTGTGCTTTATCCCGGAAAAGTGGAGGAGCGGATGAGTTTTCCCGATAACTTGCGACTATGGGTTCACCCGGGGCTCTTCGGGCGCTAATGGGAACCCATCGTTCCCAGCCCCGCGAAAAAGCTGTTGGCCTCGACCAGCTGCCTTGCCCCGGCCCGTGCCTCTCTTGCTCCTCACGGCGCCCTTATACCTGAAGGAAGCGGCGGCTTCCAAGCAGGTGTGGACGTCTGACCCGTGCGTTAGCGTAGGAGGGGGCAATTGGAGAGGCCCGCTTACGCGGTTTTAACGCTTGGTACCTCCAACAAGGCTTTATGAGTCTTTGATGGAAGTATACAATTGAGCAGCCTCTCGGACCGCCTGCTGAGCCCCAGGGAAGAGGGTGGCACCCTCTTATACGGCAAAGCAAGTAGGTCTTGGCGTGTGTAAGTCGAGTATTTAGATACCGACATCCACCGCCTGCGCATGCACATAACAGCGCACATCATCTGCGATGCACAGCTACGAATAGCGTCCCGCGCAAGATAATGTTAGTTGCGCGGCCAACTCCGAAGAGTCGGCCGGCCCCTCTCCCGCTAACTCCCTCTGTACAGCCGACAGATACGCGGAGTGTACGGACACACGGAGCTGTTGGCATGCATTATGATATTGCTCCTCGAAGCATATGTAAGCAGCCTTCAACTCCGCACCGCACACTGGAAAGGGGGGGCAACCGCCGGCCCTGCTTGACCTTAGTCAAGTTGGGTGTCTCCGACTCTGGCATGGGCGCAGCAACCTGAGGCAGTACATGGACAATCCTGTCCCGCACGTGTCTCTGCACCCGGCCCGAGGCCGAGTCCCGGTGCCGAGGTGCCGGAGGTTCAAGGGAACCCACCTGGCACTGGGCTAGGTATCCACTAGTGAAAGCCTTGGCCTCGGAAGAGGCGTCTGGCTCCGCTAGGGTAAATTGTGCGTCGGTAGTGCACGGGCCGGTGCCCGCCACCACTACGCTGGGGAGCGACCTCGAGCCGGAGCCGAAGCTCGGTCTCGGATCGTCCCCGAGACAAAGGGAACCAACCTGGCTCCGGGCTAGGTATCCACTAGTGGACGCCTCGGCCTCGGAAGAGGCGTCTGGCTCCGCTAGGGAAAATTGTGCGTCGGTAGTGCACGGGCCGGTGCCCGCCACCACTACGCTGGGGAGCGACCTCGAGCCGGAGCCGAAGCTCGGTCTCGGATCGTCCCCGAGACAAAGGGAACCAACCTGGCTCCGGGCTAGGTATCCACTAGTGGACGCCTCGGCCTCGGAAGAGGCGTCTGGCTCCGCTAGGGAAAATTGTGCGTCGGTAGTGCACGGGCCGGTGCCCGCCACCACTACGCTGGGGAGCGACCTCGAGCCGGAGCCGAAGCTCGGTCTCGGATCGTCCCCGAGACCAAGGGAACCCCCCTGGCTCCGGGCTACGAATCCACTAGTGAAAGCCTCGGCCTCGGAAGAGGCGTCTGGCTCCGCTAGGGAAAAATTGTGCGTCGGTAGTGCACGGGCCGGCGCCCGCCACCCCTCCGCTGGGGAGCGACCTCGAGCCGGCGCCGAAGCCCGGTCTGAGATCGTCCCCGAGACCAAGTTGCCTGCCTCGGCCGACGCCGGGCATATCACAAGGTCTCGAAGCCGCGTCCGGCGCCGACAACGGGGAAGGCTCGGTCCGCATCTCCTCTCGGATCTGAGACTTTACCTCCTCCATCATCGACGCCATCTGCGACTTAAGTAACGCAGAAAAGTCTGCCAAAGACAGTGCAGGAGAGGGTGCAGTGCTTACTACGGGGACCCTCGAGCCTTCTCCCCCGGCCCCCGGAGAGGGAGCGGGGGAGACAATCTCGGCAGCTTTTTTACCCTTTTTAGATGGGGAGGGGGGGATGTCTTAGTAGTGATATCTACCCCCGCCTTTAATAGACCTCTTTAAAGTGGAACAAGTCAACTTGTCTCTTTTGGGGGCCCCGGGGGGTAAAGGCAATGTCCTCCGCCAGACATATTCGGCAGCGTTCGTGCCTGTCTTAGAACAACCCGTACACAGTTTGAAGGTCTTGTAAACAAGACCGTAATTTCTGAGGTGGGCGGGAAGGGTATCAACGTGTATCAGTGCGATATAAAGATCGGAAAGAAACGTGCATAAATTGTGAAACTAGAAGCAAAGGCGTAATGTAGAATGCGATTTGTAACGCGATACTAATAGCCAATGTGTAGTATAATTATAACACCAAAGGGGCGTGTTACGCGCTAAGGTGTAAAAACCCGTAAAAAAGGTAAGTGTAGTTTATGAATTAACACACCACCTTGGGTTTTGTAAAGGAAAAAATTGTAGACCAATGCTGTATGATATAACAAAACCCCAAGCCGTTTCTTAATGGCCTTGGTGTTACATGTATCAGCCCGTGGAACTACAATATGGACGCCATTACGGCCATTTGAATTCAAAGGTACCGTGCACGTGGCGTATTATTACAACTCTATAACTTCACAATGCGAGGTATTACGCCTTTGCAAAGAAAGAAATGTACCATACATACAGTTTGGTCAGCCATGGTTCTTGTCGAACGATAGTTTTCTCTTATTTTTGTCTTGTGTGAAAAATCAACACGTCTGTCTCTTACAGATGACATAAGGAAAGTGATTTGGGTGAGAGTTGCTCCCCCTGGCGTGAGGCGCCGTTGGGGGTGAGGCCCCGTAAGGGTGGTCGTATATCATACAAAAACGAAGTTTTTTGTGTGGTAACATTTTTTATTAAGGAAAATGGTTACAACTATGTCATATAGATTTTCTTGAGCAAGGAAAATGCAATAAGTGCCCCAAGGAGGATTTAATCAGAAAGAGAATAAGCAAGCCTACCTCCCTCGGGATGCTGGGGGCCATGCCCTGTAGAAAGTAAGCAAGCCTACCTCCCTCTGGATGCCGGGGACCATGCAATGTAGAAAGTAAGCAAGCCTACCTCCCTCCGGATGCCGGGGGCCATGCGGTGTAGAAAGTAAGGAAGCCTACCTCCCTCCGGATGCTGGGGGCCATGCAGTGTAGAAAGTAAGGAAGCCTACCTCCCTCCGGATGCCGGGGGCCATGCAGTGTAGAAAGCAAACAAGCCTACCTCCCTCCGGATGCTGGGGGCCATGCAGTGTAGAAAGTAAGGAAGCCTACCTCCCTCCGGATGCTGGGGGCCATGCAGTGTAGAAAGCAAACAAGCCTACCTCCCTCCGGATGCTGGGGGCCATGCCCTGTAGAAAGTAAGCAAGCCTACCTCCCTCCGGATGCTGGGGACCATGCAGTGTAGAAAGTAAGGAAGCCTACCTCCCTCCGGATGCTGGGGGCCATGCAGTGTAGAAAGCAAACAAGCCTACCTCCCTCCGGATGCTGGGGGCCATGCAGTGTAGAAAGCAAACAAGCCTACCTCCCTCCGGATGCTGGGGGCCATGCAGTGTAGAAAGCAAACAAGCCTACCTCCCTCCGGATGCCGGGGGCCTGTTCTGTCTTCAGGAAGTTAAGGAGAACCTCCAGGAGAGTTGGGTATTTCTTGTAAGGTTCCACCACCGACCCTGTGCTCTCAACTATCTGACCCAGCGTCCACAGCGCCACCTGGAATACACCACAATACAGTATCACTCCTTCAATCTCACAACTTTTTTGTAAGGATATTGCAAATCCCAGTTACAGGAACTTTACATGACTTTCAAAGTTCATAACACTATGTTCATAAAGGTCCTCTACTACACAATATGCCCACACAATACATATTTGCAACCCGTATCCTGACAACATAAGGGAAAGAGCCAACTACTGACTGACCCTTGTTGATAATGTATGGCGCTGCTGATGAACTGACCTCTCTCTTCTGCAGCGATGATGAATCCTGCAGCATGTCCAGGATGATGGGGAGCAGCTCGTCCATCCACTTCTTCATCTCTGTGCCACTCACCTGACAGGAGACAGAAAACAATGTGAGCTACCCAAGCTTTTACCTTCACAACATACCTGAGCTAATATCTTCATAACGTACCCAAGTTAATATCTTTATAACGTATCCCAGCTCATATCTTCATAACATTCCCGACCTGATACCTTCACAACATGCCCAACCTGGTATATTTATAACATACCCGTCTCATATCTTCATAACATGCCTGAGCTGATATCTTCATAACACACCCATCTGATATCTTCATAACATGCCCATGCTGCTATCTTCACAACAGGCCCGACCTGATATCTTCATAACATGCCTGAGCTGATATCTACATGAAATGCCTGACCTGATATCTTCATTACATGCCCGACCTGTTATCTTTATAACACACCCATCTCATATCTTCATTACACACCTGAGCTGATATCTTCATAACATGCCTGACCTGATATCTTCATAACATGCCTGAGCTGATGTCTTCATAACATGCCCATCTCATATCTTCATTACATACCCGAGCTGATATCTTCATAACATGCCCGAGCTGATATCTTGATAACACACCTGAGCTGATATCTTTTGACACAACAAGGCATGCATATCTTGGCCATGCATAATGGCATATTGGCACAGGACTTGTATAACTAGGGGGTGTATAATGGTATAGTGGTACAAGGCTTTCATATGATGGTTTAGTGGTTCTAAGAATGCTGGTATTCACCTGGGCCTGTTCTCCGATGGCAGCCAGCACGCTGATGGTCACACTTGGGTTCGGGTCGAGTTCTTTCAGTTTAGGGATGAGTACCTAGCACACAAAATGTAATATCCTTTTAACAGCAGTATTATTTTCTCAGATTAAATACTTTTGAAAACAGTGCTTACAAAAAATTAAAAATTAGGGAGGGGGAAAATTATAGGGGTAGACAGGTCATGACAAACAAGAATTGTTTGGCCTGGATCAAACTTGTGAGAACACAGACTCAGGAGGGGAGTCGAAAACTAAACAGAGAATTAAACCTGACCTACCTTCAGGATGGGTTCCATGTAGGGCCTGATGAGTCGGGCTGCATTAGAAACAAGATGGCCGAGCATCCGTGCCGCCTGCTCCTTGTTTCGACCAATACCACTGTGTTCCAGCTCAGTCAATATCTGATCAACACAGCAACTAATGAGAGACTGTTGCCTTATGTTTGTAAGCTATTAAACTAATTTTATTCAAGAGTTCATTCAATATTGTTGACATCAATTTTGGTGATGTCATGTGAACTGACTGACAGAGGTGAAATGGAGTTTAATGTTCAATATATTACACATATATTTAGTGTCCTACTTTCCCTCTGGTTTCTTTCCTCAGGTCTTACACTCCCAAGCATATCCTCATAGTCCTGTATTACAGGTATCCTATACAAAGCCTTAGAGATTAGTGTTTGAGATTACCTGAATCAAGACTTTCCTGAGTGATGGCATCACATATGCTGGATTCTTGCTGCTCAGTCGGCCTATCATACAAATAGCCAGCTCGCGGATCTCATAGGCTTCATCGTTGAGAGCCACAAAGAGAGCACTGAGGTTCTCTGCCTGTGCCAGATGGGGGTCGAACCTCTCATCCAGGGCAGCCAGAACACAGTACCGGATATCTGCATCTGAACACAATTACCTCACACTGTACAGAGATCTACAAAATATGCATCATGCTCTGTACTGATGGTGTCATTCTGATGAATATTCAGAGCTACTTTAGAACTTGAACAAAACAAATAGAGTAAGACCAAGTTTACAAAGATGAAGGACTGTATGTTGACCAGTGCTTCTATGTACAGTGTAATATATCCATCCAATCCAGGTCATGGAGTCAAATCTGACTAAACTGAACTTCATTCACTCTGGCTTCCAGATTCATCACACAACCTTGTGTAGCTACACATTGAACCTTCACAATCTTTACCATTCATCACACAACCTTGTGCAGCTACACGTTGAACCTTCACAATCTTTACCATTCATCAAACAACCTTGTGTAGCTACACGTTGAACCTTCATAATCTTTACCATTCTTCACACAACCTTGTGTAGCTACACGTTGAACCTTCACAATCTTTACCATTCTTCACACAACCTTGTGTAGCTACACGTTGAACCTTCACAATCTTTACCATTCATCACACAACCTTGTGTAGCTACACGTTGAACCTTCACAATCTTTACCATTCTTCACACAACCTTGTGTAGCTACACGTTGAACCTTCACAATCTTTACCATTCTTCACACAACCTTGTGTAGCTACACGTTGAACCTTCACAATCTTTACCATTCTTCACACAACCTTGTGTAGCTACACGTTGAACCTTCACAATCTTTACCATTCATCACACAACCTTGTGTAGCTACACGTTGAACCTTCACAATCTTTACCATTTTTCACACAACCTTGTGTAGCTACACGTTGAACCTTCACAATCTTTACCATTCTTCACACAACCTTGTGTAGCTACACGTTGAACCTTCACAATCTTTACCATTCATCACACAACCTTGTGTAGCTACACGTTGAACCTTCACAATCTTTACCATTCATCACACAACCTTGTGTAGCTACACGTTGAACCTTCACAATCTTTACCATTCATCACACAACCTTGTGTAGCTACACGTTGAACCTTCACAATCTTTACCATTCATCACACAACCTTGTGTAGCTACACGTTGAACCTTCACAATCTTTACCATTCATCACACAACCTTGTGCAGCTACACGTTGAACCTTCACAATCTTTACCATTCTTCACACAACCTTGTGTAGCTACACGTTGAACCTTCACAATCTTTACCATTCTTCACACAAGTGTGGTGAGACAGATTCTACTGTATATCAATCAGTCCTCCACTACTTCATGTGTGAACACCTACCTGAGTCTGTGATGCCCACCACCAGGAGCTTGTTGAGGACATAGGCTACCGTTGTCATGGCCGACATGCTGATCTGACCCTGACTGGAGGCTAGAAGCTGAAACATCACAAAGACAAATACAGAATGTAATATGACATCACAACTCTGACAGAGAGTAACTACTGGCTACTGACACACACAACATTACTGATGGGGAGAATATGCAGGGAGATTGAGCCCCCGATATAGAGTAACTACTGGCTACTGACATACACAACATTACTGATGGGGAGAATATGCAGGGAGGTTGAGCCCCCGATATAGAGTAACTACTGGCTACTGACATACACAACATTACTGATGGGGAGAATATGCAGGGAGGTTGAGCCCCCGATATAGAGTAACTACTGGCTACTGACACACACAACATTACTGATGGGGAGAATATACAGGGAGGTTGAGCCCCCGATATAGAGTAACTACTGGCTACTGACACACACAACATTACTGATGGGGAGAATATACAGGGAGGTTGAGCCCCCGATATAGAGTAACTACTGGCTACTGACACACACAACATTACTGATGGGGAGAATATGCAGGGAGGTTGAGCCCCCGATATAGAGTAACTACTGGCTACTGACACACACATCATTACTGATGGGGAGAATATGCAGGGAGGTTGAGCCCCCGATATAGAGTAACTACTGGCTACTGACATACACAACATTACTGATGGGGAGAATATACAGGGAGGTTGAGCCCCCGATATAGAGTAACTACAGACTACTGACACACACAATATTACTGATGGGGAGAATATGCAGGGAGGTTGAGCCCCCGATATAGAGTAACTACAGACTACTGACACACACAATATTACTGATGGGGAGAATATGCAGGGAGGTTGAGCCCCCATAATAGAGTAACTACAGACTACTGACACACACAATATTACTGATGGGGAGAATATACAGGGAGGTTGAGCCCCCGATATAGAGTAACTACTGGCTACTGACACACACAACATTACTGATGGGGAGAATATACAGGGAGGTTGAGCCCCCGATATAGAGTAACTACTGGCTACTGACACACACAATATTACTGATGGGGAGAATATACAGGGAGGTTGAGCCCCCGATATAGAGTAACTACAGACTACTGACACACACAACATTACTGATGGGGAGAATATGCAGGGAGATTGAGCCCCCGATATAGAGTAACTACTGGCTACTGACACACACAATATTACTGATGGGGAGAATATACAGGGAGGTTGAGCCCCCGATATAGAGTAACTACTGGCTACTGACACACACAACATTACTGATGGGGAGAATATACAGGGAGGTTGAGCCCCCGATATAGTGTAACTACTGGCTACTGACACACACAATATTACTGATGGGGAGAATATACAGGGAGGTTGAGCCCCCGATCTAGAGTAACTACTGGCTACTGACATACACAACATTACTGATGGGGAGAATATGCAGGGAGGTTGAGCCCCCGATCTAGAGTAACTACTGGCTACTGACATACACAACATTACTGATGGGGAGAATATACAGGGAGGTTGAGCCCCCGATCTAGAGTAACTACTGGTTACTGACACACACAGCATTACTGATGGGGAGAATAAACAGGGAGATTGAGCCCCCGATCTAGAGTAACTACTGGCTACTGACACACACAACATTACTGATGGGGAGAATATACAGGGAGGTTGAGCCCCCGATCTAGAGTAACTACTGGCTACTGACACACACAACATTACTGATGGGGAGAATATACAGGGAGGTTGAGCCCCCGATCTAGAGTAACTACTGGCTACTGACACACACAACATTACTGATGGGGAGAATATACAGGGAGGTTGAGCCCCCGATATAGAGTAACTACTGGCTACTGACACACACAACATTACTGATGGGGAGAATATGCAGGGAGATTGAGCCCCCGATATAGAGTAACTACTGGCTACTGACATACACAACATTACTGATGGGGAGAATATGCAGGGAGGTTGAGCCCCCGATATAGAGTAACTACTGGCTACTGACACACACAACATTACTGATGGGGAGAATATACAGGGAGGTTGAGCCCCCGATATAGAGTAACTACTGGCTACTGACATACACAACATTACTGATGGGGAGAATATGCAGGGAGGTTGAGCCCCCGATATAGAGTAACTACAGACTACTGACACACACAACATTACTGATGGGGAGAATATGCAGGGAGATTGAGCCCCCGATATAGAGTAACTACTGGCTACTGACATACACAACATTACTGATGGGGAGAATATGCAGGGAGGTTGAGCCCCCGATATAGAGTAACTACTGGCTACTGACACACACAACACTACAGGTACACAGGTACACTACTGACCGTGAGTAGAGGTGACAGTAGCCGGGCACATGTCTGCACCGCCTCCATGCGGATCTCCTTGTGTTCGCTGTTGAGGTAGTGGTCAGCACAGTGCTGCACAAACTGAGTCAGGGAATGACCTGTGCACACAGACACATATAACTGCACCTTTATAGAATACTCATACAATATTTACAATCACATAAACTTTTACAAACCTGTAGAGGTTATGAATCTTCTGAAGAAATCCTCCTTAGGGCACTTATTGCATTTTTTCCTTGCTCAAGAAAATCTACATGACATAGTTGTAACCATTTTCCTTAATAAAAAATGTTACCACACAAAAAACTTCGTTTTTGTATGATATACGACCACCCTTACGGGGCCTCACCCTCCACAGCGCCAGGGGAAGCAACTCTCACCCAAATCACTTTCCATATGTCTAATGCTGACGGAATGTTGGGAGGTGGGTGGCCGTGCCCCAAGGAGGATTTCATCAGAGAATTCATAACCTCTCAAGGGTTTGTAAATTCTCTTTCAGATTAAATCTTCCTTGGGGCACTTATTGCATCAAGATAGACTCTTAAAGATAATCTAGGAAGTGGCATCTGTCAGCAACAAGCGTGCATAAATACATTGTATTTTGATTATTTCAATGAATAAAAAAGAGTTCAATAAATGGAACCAACCCTATCGTGAGGCACCTCCGCCGAAAGGCGGGGCCTAGAAACAGGGCCTGGTCGACCATATACAATGAAAGAGACATTATTTGTGGCTTATCATATTGATAACTCAAGACCCCCCACACACTTTTTGGAACAAGTGATACAGGGGCGTAGATCACGAGAGACTATAAACCCACGCTGAGCTAGGCCAGAGGGTCCCCGTGAATCGAAGGAGTCATGTGCAAAAACGAGTCTTATCGAGTAGTAAGGACTGGTATTTTTATCGACCGCAGAAGATATAATCCGGACCGTTAATGAGCAGTATAACCGGAGGGCGGTCTTAAATTTCGAAGGCTCAATCGGCTAGAGATGTAGAACTTTGCCCAGTTCAGAGAACTGACTGACCAAACTGAGCACGCTCGCTTGATGTTTGATGAACATGCTCTGCTGGCTCCAAATAGCCGCGGAGCAGATTTCCTCAATGGGCAGAGCTGCGGCGTACGCTTGTGACGTAGCCACTGCTCTAACCGAATGAGCCTTCAACCTGGTAAGGGGGTCCCTGCCTTGAAGCGTGTACGCAGTACAAATAGTTGACACTATCCACCTTGAGATAGTTTGTTTGCTCGCAGGTGAGCCAGCCTTTCTACCACCATAACAGAAAATAGTTGATTATCCTTACGGATACCCTTAGTTCTGCTGATATAGGCCTTGGGGGTCCTGCGGACATCCAAGACATGAGCATGTCTTGTAGTGGTCCCCGACGTGGAAGGCTGTAAAGAGCAGGTAGCTCAATAGGAGCCGTCACGTGTGCGACCTTGGGATGGTAAGAGTCCGGCAGCCGAATACTGACCCGGTGGAAAACAGTTAGTTCGGGATCAGCTGACATTGCATGAATGTCGCCTACCCGTCTGCCGGACGTTACCGCCACAAGGAACGCCGTCCTCCAGCTCAACAGCTGAAGAGAGAGAGACGCCAGATCCCGAAAGGAAGGACCGGACAGCCAATCAGGAACGATTTGCAAGTCCCAAGGGGGACTGATCCGCCAGACAGGCGGTCGGATCCTGTCCACACCTGCTAAAAAGCGCTGCACTAATGGGTGCGCACCCAGAAGTGCCCCGTCGACAGGGACGTGAAAAGCTGCAATAGCTGTAGAGTACCCCCGGACTGTCGATGCGGCCAGGCCGTCATCAAGTCGCAACTGGAGGAACTCAAGCACGGCTACGAGGTCTGCATAAAAGGGATCTGCAATCCCTCTATCGACACACCAGCGCGGATAGCAGGTCCATCTATCCTCATACTGAATGTTTGTCGAATCCCTCCGCGAAGCCAGTATTGTGTCTGCAACTCGTGCAGGAATACCGCTCTTCTGGAGGCGATTCCTGACAGTGGCCAAGCCACCCACTGAATCCTGTGATTCAGGTGGAGGGCCCCGTTCTGGGATAGGAGGTCCGGTCGTAAAGGTAAAAGAACAGGAGGCTGAGCCAGAAACCTGAGTATTACTGGAAACCAACTCTGCGCCGACTTAAGAGGTGCCAGGAGCACAAGTAGTCGCACAGGCTGAGTGGCTAGCTGAGACAGGACCTTGGAAATCAGAGGTACTGGGGGGAATGCCCACAGAGCTCTGTCCATCCAATCTAGCTGGAAGGTGTCTGGTGCCACCAACCTTGGGTCGGGGACTCGGGAGCAGAACATTGGTGTCTGGTGATTCACCCCAAACGCAAACAGATCCACCTGGAACGACCCGTATAACTGGGAGATTATCCCGAATATCCCCAGGTCGAGCCTCCACTCGTGAGGAGCGAGGATCCAGCAAGACAGAGCGTCTGCACGGACGTTGTCCAGCCCCGGGAGATTAACAGGTAGCACCCTGATAACGTGTGAGTTGCACCATAGGAGGAACTGCCACGTCTCTTGGAGAAGCGACGGAGACACCGTTCCCCCCTGCTTCCGGATGTAAGTCATCGCCGTTTGGTTGTCTATCTCTAGACGCACCACTTGGCCACGAAGCAGATCCAGGAAGCGTTGGAACACCAACCTGATCGCTCTCAGTTCTAGCACATTGATATGCAGTTTGATTTCCTGCTGCTGCCTTGCCCCGGCCCCTGCCTTTCTTGCTCCTCCCGGCGCCCTTACCTGAAGGAAGCGGATACTTCCAAGCACCTGCTGAGCGCCAGGGAAGAGGGTGGCATCCATCTTATATGGCAAAGCAAGTAGGTCCTGGCGTGTGGAAATTGAGTATTTAGATACTGACATCCACAGCCTGCGCATGCCCATGACTGCAGACATCATCTGCGAGGCACAGCTACAAATAGCATCCCGCGCAAGATGACTGTGAACCTCCTTAAGTTGCGCGGCCAACTCCGAAGAGTCGGCCGGCCCCTCTCCCGCTAACTCCCTTTGTACAGCCGACAGATATGCGGAGTGTATGGACACACGGAGCTGTTGGAATGCATTACGATATTGCTCCTAGAAGCATATGTAAGCAGCCTTCAACTTCGCACCGCAAGTGGGAAAGGGGGGCAACAGCCGGCCCTGCTTGACCTTAGTCAAGTTGGGGGTCGAAGACCCCCCAGGTCCAAACGCATTCATCCACCACCGGTACCTCAAAGTCACCATCCTCTGCAAGCGGGTACCGCTTAATAAGTTTGGGCAGGTCGAAACTTCCTGCGAGCACCCGACAACAGAGGGTTGATGACTTCATGCACCAGGGAGGATAGAACATGGAGCCGCACCTGGGGCGCCTTGCTAGGAGCAAAAGCGTACCCCGGGAGGCGGATCTCAGTCGGATCCGACGCGGGCATGGGCGCAGCCACCTGAGGCAGTACCTGGACAATCTTGTCCCACATGTGCCTCAACGAGGAAGCGAAGGAAATGTTCCCGAGGTCTCCGAGTCGTCTCCCCCCTCCTCCATCAACTCCTCCTCTCTCGATTCCGAGCCAAAGTTAATCGACTCTTCCCCGAGAGATGAGGCAGACGAAGTCAGAAGAGGACACCAGAAGGCCTGGGCCCTTGCATCCCCGGGCTGCACCCGGCCTGAAGCCGAGTGTTGGCTCGAGGTGCCGGGGGTTCAAGGGAACCCACCTGGCTCTTGGCTAGGAATCCACTAGAGGAAGCCTCGGCCTCGGAAGAGGCGTCTGGCTCTGCTAGGAAAAAAATGTGTGTCGGTAGTGCACAGGCCAGCGCCTGCCACCCCGCTGGGGAGCGACCTCGAGCCGGCGCCGAAGCCCGGTCTGAGATCGTCCCCGAGACCAAGTGGCCTGCCTCGGCCGACGCCGGGCATATCACGAGGTCTCGAAGCCACGTCCGGCGCCGACAACTGAGACTTCACCTCCTCCATCATCAACGCCATCTGCGACTTCAATAAGGCAGAGATGTCTGCCAAATACGGTGCAGAAGAGGGTGCAGTGTTTATTACGGAGACCCTAGAGCCTTCTCCCCCGGCCCCCGGGGAGGGAGCGGAGGAGACAGTCCCTGCTGCTTTTTTACCCTTTTTAGACTTTTTAGAGAGGAGGGGGGGACAGTCTTAGCCAATCTTATATCCACCCCCGCCTTCAAGAGACCCTTAAAGTGCATGAGATCCACTTGTCTCTTTTTTTGAGCCCGGGGGTGAAGGCAATACAGATTGGGCATGACCCATCGTCATGCCCGTCCTCCGCCAGACATTTGAGGCAGCTTTCATGCCTGTCTTGGGGGGGAATGGATGCTGAACACCCTGTACACAGTTTGAAGGTCTGTAAAAAAGACAGTAATTTCTGAAGTGGGCGGGAAGGGTAATAAATTGTATCAGTGCGATTGAAAGATCGGAAAGATACGTGCATAAATTGTGAAACTAGGAGCAAAGGCGTAATTTAGTTTTGTAACGCGATACTAACAGCCAATGTCGTAGTATAATTATAACACCAAAGTGGGCGTGTTACGCGCGAAGGTGTTAAAAACCCGTAAAAAAGGTTAGTGTAGTTTAATTATTATTAACACACCACCTTAGATTTATGTAAAGGAAAAGATTGTAGACCAAAGCCGTATGATATAACAAAAAAAACCAAGCCATTTTGAATGGCCTTGGTGTTAGATGTATCAGACAGTGGCACTACAATATGGACGCCATTACGTCCATTTGAATTCAAAGGTACCGTACACGTGGCGTATAATTACAACTCTGTAACTTTACAATGCGAGGTATTACGCCTTTGCAATGAAAGAAATGTACCATACATTCAGTTTGGTCAGACATGGTTCTTGTCGAACGACAATCTTTGATACTTTTTTTGTCTTGAAAAAACAGGTACGTCTGTCTTAGTCAGATGACATAAGGAAAGTGATTTGGGTGAGAGTTGCTTCCCCTGGCGTGACGCGCCGTGGAGGGTGAGGCCCCGTAAGGGTGGTCATATATCATACAAAAACGAAGTTTTTTGTGTGGTAACATTTTTTATTACGGAAAATGGTAACAACTATGTCATGTAGATTTTCTTGAGCAAGGAAAATGCAATAAGTGCCCCAAGGAGGATTTAATCTGAAAGAGAATTGATGTGTGTGTGTGTGTGTGTGCGTGCGTGCGTGCGTGCGTGTTATAGTGTGCCGCAATTTAACATGGATACATGAGTCAGACACAGTACTCCAGTTTAGCCCCTTAATGCTGAGTGCCAGGTAGGTAAAGAACAAGTACATCTTTTAACGTCTTTTGGTATGACGAGGCCTGGATCGAACCCCAACATTCCACTCTCTGGGCAGACCTTCTACCACTAGACCAAGGAGACGGTCAGTTGTATTAGTAACCTCAATAGTTTAGATGTCAAGAACGTAAGTTATGCACAGAGATTTGAAAAGTATTCATGCACTTATGATGTTCCTTACCTTCAAAGTCAAAGCTCCCAAGTGTCCGCAGTGCCAAGGTGATGCTTGTAGCATCATGGGACTCGGGCAAGTTGGCCACTGAGGCTGAAATAACCACATATTATAGTACCAATGACTTCACTTGCATAGTTGTCATAATGGACTCGTGGATGAACACCAAGGCTAGACAGTCCAGCTAATCACACATTAACACAGTTATGTGTCTTTGTGTATTTGGGGAGAAATGATACAGCAAGGTCCCGATATACCTGATCATGTTACATAGGTCCCGATACAATCTGTATTGGGAAACGCATATTTACGACAAATAGCATGAAAACTTAGTGACTATAAATATTTCAGAGCAGGTTCAAAAAGAAAAGCCATCTGTAGACACATGTTTGTAGTGGATATTTTTAGCCGGAACTTGAAAGGCTGATTACAACACATTTTGCAATATTTGACTAATAAACACTCTGAGGGGTCATTAAACGAGTAGTAAGTAATTTATTTTAGCAAGTATATCGTCTTGTATTGATACCACAAAAAATGTATCATGTATCGTATTGTCGCATGAAAACTCACAATGTACTGGTACTCTGATGTATCGTTTCACCCCTAGTGTGTATACAATCACTGAGCAAATAGGATGCTAGGTTACGTATTTAGTACTTGAGTACCAGCAACCTGTAGTTAATGAGCCCAACAAACCAGTGGTCAAAAATGGGAGCCATGAGGGAGTGTGTGAGTTTGGTTTTAATGCTGTTTTTTAACAGTTTTCCAGTTACATCATAGCTTGTCAGCCTAATGTGGGAGGAAAGCTCAAAGTGATGCAGGTCTCACATGTATACCAATTTGGTGAAACCAATGAGCATGGGTATGGAGCGGACAAACCTAGAAACATAATCAGGGCGAACTGGTATTCAAACCAACAATCATGTATTTTTTAGAGTAAAAATATCATTTATACTTATCCTGACTCACACTTATTGCTTATCTCTCTCTCTTCCGAATAGGTAGTGGGAAATTCCTGTGCTGTTCCCAAAGAACAGAGAATACAGCTCACCCAAACGCACCCTAATTCCGCCCATGCGCACCTGAACCATGTGACTAAGCCCAGTAACTCATCACTCTCTCTTATTTCCTACTTAATGGTCGGAACACATCAGTGGAAAGAGGGGAAGGCCGGGAGTGTACTCATTTGTATGAGTCAGGATAAGTATAAATGATATTTTTACTCTAAAAAATACATATTTTATCTTATCCTGACTCATACTTATTGCTTGAATCTCACAGTAGGTGGTGGGTTCAACCTGTATGTGTGATTAACATCGATCTGTTCTATAAAAGCCATAGGAACGTTGTTAATCTTCTGTGTAAATTCTTTATTTGGGGACCACCTTCCTTTTTTGTGAGCAGCAAAATGGAAGTAAATCATATAAATTTGTGGATTTATAAGGTTTCTAAGATTAAAATCTTGTCCACCTTAAATGATTCAAGTGTTAAGAGAAGAGCAATAATCTTAACACAATCATTTCTCACTCATGTGCTGAATTACATAGTAAAACAGGGGGCATGGACTCTCAGTCGTTGGTTATGGAACAGTAACCGGACGTCAACAAGTCTACGTGATATTGGGTGAGTGTGATCTTCTAATGTTGTCTGGTAGGATTCGTGAGTTGTTGTGCCACAACTAATGGTCGAATTGGTGAATACCAGCTAAGTCTTCTGTAGCAAGGTCTCTGAGGTAGTGATTGGCAAAAACTGTTTCTGATTTCCAGAAACAGCCTTCCATAATAGTTGTTATGGAGCAGTTGCCGTGAAGTGCCAAAGTTGAGGCTAAGGCTCTTACTTCGTGAGGGTTGGAGGCTGAAGGGGGGTCCAATCCCACTGTTCTGTATGCTCTGAGAATAACAGCTCTCATCCAAAATGAGATAGTTGTTCTGGATACCTCTGTGTGTGTATTCCTTAATAAAGGAATAAATAGTCTCTTAGAACCTTGTCTTCTAGGTTTAGACTTTTGTAGGTATAATCTTAAGGCTCTGACTGGACATAGTGATAAATCCTCTGTATCCTCTGCACCAAGGACGAAGGAAAGAGCCGGAACTTGGAATTGTCTGTCTGGTTGGCCTGGTAACTGGTTCTTTGCAATAAAGTACCATCTTAAGCCAAGGTACGCTGATGAGTTGTTACCACTGTCAAATGTGATGCGATTGAAGTCTATCGCGTGGATTTCAGACATTCTGGCTGCCGTAGCTAATGCCAGAAGAAATAGGGTTTTCTGCGTCAGGTGTTCAAAGTCGGCCTGTTGGAGCGGTTTGTATGCATCACTGGTTAGGTGTTGTAGCACTATATTTAGGTCCCATGCTGGGGCTCTAAATCTTTTCTGTTGGTCCTCAAGTCTGAAGGATCTGAGTAGGGCTATCAGCTTAAGTTTTATCCTGTTAGCCATTGTCAGTACAGAACTGATAGCGGCCAAATAAATGCCCAGTGTCGAACCTTTAAGACTCCTTGTTCTTCGTAAGTGACATAGGTAATCTACTACTTGTGGTATAGTAGCTTTGGCTGCAGAAAAACCCTTGGATGTTGCAAACTGGTCAAAACTTTTCCATTTATAGTCATAGAGATTCCTCGTTGATCTACGAAGTGCTAAGGAGACTGCCTTAGCTGCTCTCATGGAATATCCTCTTTTAACGAGACTGCTCTTGATATGCTCCATACATGAAGTTCGTAAAGATCTGGTCTTGGATGGACCTGATTGGAGTGAGGATGTAGCAGTAGATTTGGCCAGTTTGGAAGTTTTAACATTGGATTCCCTGCTAGTTCGACGAGATCTGGAAACCACGTTCTCGCCGGCCAGTAAGGCGCTACCAAAAGCAGTTGTAGGCTGCTCGTGTCTAGCATCTTTTGTAATATCTGTGGTATCACGGCTGGTGGAGGAAACGCATACGCGTTTAGTCCCTCCCATGATATTGACAGAGCATCGACTGACCAAGCTAGTGGGTCTGGCACTGGTGCTACAAATGTTGTTATCTGATTGTTGAATCTGGTTGCGAATAGGTCTATCTAATAGGCAACCTTTTTCTTTATTGCCAGTTGGAATGCTTCTGGGTGTAGCTTCCATTCTGTCGGTGATGGTTTGGCTGGTCTGGTTAAGGCGTCTGCTGAGATTTTGCAACTGCTGGTATATGTCTTGCCTTTATTGTTAAGTTCAGATTGTCTACTAGCTCGTAAAGTTGAAATGTCAACTTCAGGAGGGTCTCTGATTTTGTTGTGCCTTGAAGGTTTATATTGTATGCCACAGTTGAATTGTCTGTTCTGATCATCAGACGTTGGTTTCTTAACTGTGGGGCCCAGTGAAATATTGCACGGATTACTGCCTCGCATTCCAGATAAATGATTTGGTAGAGCTTTTCTGCTTCCAACCATAGGTCTGCTGTTACTTCTCTGTTGAAGTGAGCTCCCCAGCCTTGAAGTGAGGTGTCCATGAATAAGTGGTTGTTGTAATCCAGCTCGTTTAAACAAGTTCCTGCGCAAACGTTCGATTTCACTGTCCACCATAAGAGGTGTTTCCTCAAAGTTTGTGGTAGTTGCAGTTTTAAATCCTGATACTCTAGGTATGGATTTAGAAATCTCTGAATAGGGTGTAAGTGTAGTCTGCCTCGGACCGTCCACGCTTGGGCTGACGTGAGTCAGCCTTGTAGCACTTGCCATTCGTTGACTGAGATTTTCTTGTAAATTGCTGTTGGCAAACAAGTCTTGATTTTTATCCACCGATCTTCGGGTACCATTAGCAGATTCTGATTGGTTAGAAATCTGATCCCCAGAAATTTGTGGTCCTGAGATGGTTGTAGATCGGACTTCTGAAAATTTATTAACCAACCCAGTTGTGTTAATAATTTCAGGGTGAAATTTAGTTGTAGTCTGAGTAGCTCTGTTGATTGATGGGCTTATATCCCATCGTCTAGGTAAAAAGCACAACAAATTCCCTTGTTGTGAAGAAATGTCACAATTGGTTTGGTCACTCGTGTAAATAGCCACAGGGCCGTGCAAATTCCAAAGGGCAGGACCGCCCACTGGTAATGTTGTCTTTCGAAGAGGAAACGTAAATATTTCCTGAAAGTCCGTTTTATGGGAATGTGTAGGTAAGCATCCTGTAGATCGATGCTTCCGAGATAGTCGTGCTGTCTTATATTTGTTGAATCATTCTGAATTCCTCCGGTTTTGGGAGGTATTTCTTGTTGAATTTTCTCAAGTTGTAAATCAAACGAAACTTTTTGTTTGAATTCTTTTTGGGAACCAAAAAGATCGGCAAATAGAAACCCGGCGTTAGTAATGCTGGTTGAATTATCTCGTCTGCGCCCTTGTTGAGACGTGAATTGATTGCTTCGGTTAACTTCGGCAACAATTCTTTCTGATAAGGTATTTTCGGTGGCTTGCGAGATAACAGGGATTTCTTAAATAAAGTCGGGGCATAGCCCTTTCTTAGAATGTTGGAAACAAATTTGTCTCCTAGAGGTCCCAATTCATCCAATATCTTGCCAATCTTCCGCCTACTGGGGAATGCTGTACATGAATGGCTGGTGGGGGGAGTTCCCTGTCGTTCAAAAGCCCATCTTCGCCGGTAATTGCGGGATCCCCTCGATCTGCGGTCGCAGTCGCGACCGGCATCACGTGACGTGTCATGTGACTTGCGAAAAGCAGATGATTTCCCGCCTCTGTAGTTGTACGAGCGTTTCTCTTTAGCTTTTTGAATGTCCGTCAAACAGCTTTTGAATTGGGTTTTCTGCATGGATTGACGATACATAGAATTCATAGTCTGAACTGACTTGATCAGCATATGATCTTACCATTAAAAATGGTTGGGGCCTCCCAGGGTTGTCTTAATAATACATATTAGAATATATACCAATTAGAATTATTTATAAGACCTTGTCGCCGTAGTAGTGTTAAACCTGCCGACACTGAACTCATATGATCAGAAATAATTTCTTGACAAGAGCTGAAAGTAGCATTCTTTCGCGGTCGTTCTGAGGCTCTTTTAATTCATAGAACATAGCTTCGTTCATAGCACATGACATCGCTTGTTCAAAGAATGCATGTCTTGTAGTTGTATCAAGTTGTGCAATTTTCTTATCCTTAATGCGATAAGATTTTACTTTTGGAGTCTGACATGAGTGAGTAATCTTCATCAATCTCCGGTGAGCCAAGAAATTGCGCAGGGTGTGCATGGGGAATTTCTTAGAATTAAAGCTCAGTGTTTGAAGTCCTAGTGATTTCCTGGGCTATTCAAAAGAAACATTAAGATTCTCTGCAATGTTGGAGATTGGTTTTATCGGTGGGATGGTTAGTGTGTCTATATCGTCCCCTTTAATACAGTATGTATCAGTGGGAGAAGAATTTCTTGATGGTGATGATATCGGCAGTCTATCTGTAATCCACACCATTAATTCATGATCCTCATAAATTGAAGGGTAACTTTCCCCCGATGTGTCCTCATTTTGAGGGGTCTCGAACACATCCTCCTCTCGCAGAAGATAGGAGGCGTTGGGATTCGGAGCCGTAAATGAAGGCTGCGACATCTGTGAGCTATTGTGTGAAGAGGTAGTCGACTGCGTGCCAGGTTGTTTACACATTTGTTGTTGCATAGCCATTATGACTTGTTGTGTGATATTTGCTATCACAGCTGAAGTAATAGCAGGCGTTAGCAAAGTATCTTGTGTAAAAAAGGTAGGCTGCGTGAAGGTAGTTGGCAGTGTAAACGTTGAAGGCTGCACGAAGGCGGGAGCCATTTGTGACCAACTCGTGTTATTCTGGGACAAGCCGAATAGCGACTCGTGCCCTTCTCATGGCCATTTTTGCGACCGGGTTCCGTCTTAGCGCAAACGGGCATACCTAAAACAATTGTCAACTTGTTGCGTAATGGTTCACATATAATTTCCCCATGTATTATATATATTTCAGATGCAATTTAAAGCACAAACGGACGTGCGGAATTATACAGTATGATTGAACACATTTAACTGTGTCTTGGGTATATTTTTAGATGCAAGACATATGTAAAATTAAAAATTATTTCTTTGACGAGAACTTAAAATTATACGCACATTCTGATTGGTTTGTCGTATTTTCGCACATAACATTCATCGATAGGGAGGCGAGTCTTCTTGCAGGTTACGGAAAGGGGCGAGTGGTGACGAATTGGCGGGAGCCTGCGTGAACGCTGGCGTCTGTCTATACTCTTGTTGATTAATAGGCTGCGTGCAGGCTGACGCCTGCGCGAAGGTAGAGGATTGCATAATTATTGTGTTGGGCTGCACGAAGGCCGGTATCTGCGCGAAGGTCTGAGGCTGATTGAGGTTTGTATCGGTTGTATTTGTAGCCTTATTGGATGACACTGCGGGCTGCGCGAACCTCTGGGGTTGTGTGGACGTAATTGTCTGCGTGCAGGCTTTCTTCTGGCTAGAAGAAACAGCTGATTTTCTTGAAATCCCCTTCGTGACTACGGATGAAGTCCGTGGTTTTGTAGAGGAATAACCTCTGCAAAAACATGCTCTCTCCTAGGGGAAGACGGCTTCAAAGTAGATGATGCAGCACTCTTTTTCTTAGCTAGATGTTGTAGATTGATCGCCTGACTGAAACTTTCAGTAGGTTTATTCTTAGACCCTCTAGACTTTTTACTGGTAGACGAGGAAGTAAGATGGGGGGGGGGGTGACTGCATCATATTCAGCGGGAGTTACTTGAATAATATCAAATTCGAATTCCTCTGACAAAGGGCAGGGCGTAGCTTCTCGCCTCTTCTTACTTTTAGCCGTCTCCGTGGATGATAACGAGCGTGATGACTCACGTCATTTCCAATCCATCTTTTTCCTCTGCACTGCAAAAAGATAATTACTAAATTCTTCCTTCCCCAAGGGGCGCAGAATTTGCATCTATTCTCTGCAGTGCAGTTCTGTACTGTGCAGCTGGTACAGGTTGGATGGGGTCCGAATCTGAAACACGTAATTTACATCGGTTTCATGTTTTTATAACGCCGATAGGGGCTGCATTTGAGTCCAATTACGAAAAAATTCTAATGCCAAATATATAAAATAATCGTTAGATATGATGTATAGAATACCACAGAAGATAATCCAAGCAAAAGATTTTGTTAAAAAGGATGAATTTTTATGGAAAGCTTGGATTATGATGCACAGAAAAAAATTCCAGCTGCCAAGATGGCGCGAAAAAGAGAGTGTGATGAGTTACTGGGCTTGGTCACATGGTTCTGGTGCGCATGCGGGGAATTAGGGTGCGTTTGGGTGAGCTGTTTTCGCAGTTCTTTGGGAACAGCACAGGAAGTTTCCACTACCTATTCGGAAGAGAGAGAGATAAGCAATAAGTATGAGTCAGGATAAGATAAAATATTTGGTTTGCCCAGGGGATGCAACTCTGCACCCCCAAATTACAGCGTCTTAGATGACTGGGCCACCCATGGCCCCTGGGAGCAATAAGCCATACATTCTGGGAATGACAACACACTTTTAGGCAGGTCGGCCATGTACTACAACTTCTTGAGTGGGTTAACAATGCAAACACCCTCACTCCTGTAGATAAGTACACAAACATCCCACTGTTCAACTGACCAATGTTACTGTCACTGAATGTTTCTCATGTTATTTACCTGATGGAGGAAGAGCAGACGAAGGACTCTTTGGTGCTCCAGGGTGTTTGAGGGGCCGTCCCATCAAGATAAGAGAGAGGTTTTTGAGGAGGCCATCTTGAATGTCTTTCTTGAGCTGTGGGATCTGTGTGGCAAGGTCCCTCAGTGCAGCAGTCAGAGCAGGGCTGCAGCAACAGAAAGTCACCATGGGTAAAGGGTTGGATGGCTGTACGATGTTCACAGAACTAACACATTGTTTACACATACCGTATTCGACGTAATAAGCGCCCAGGGCGCTCTCAAAATTAGAAATAGGGGGATCCTATTAGAATACTATTTTGGTGAAAAAAAACAGTCGAAAGATAAATTTCGTGGTTTGTACTGACAGCCTGAAATGTTTATATACGAGAGATACATTTTTTGGAATTTAATTGCCCATAATTAAGGGTGCATATATAACAAACGAGTGCGTATTATATGCGAATAAATAAGTGTTGTGTACATTGATCAATCAGAAGGGGTGCTAATTGGGATTGTTCACTAGCCAATATATTAGCAAATATCGCTGTGGGCGCTTATTAGAGTGGGGCGCTTATTACGTCGAATACGGTATGTTAAAAAGCATAAAATCTAATCAAACATCATAAATTACTGAAGTTGAACTATTTGTCAAACATCTAAACAACATTTTGTTAGAATAGCATGAATTATTTGTTCTCAAGCCAACATGATATTTCAAAAGACAATAAAGAGTTTAGTCTTATTTCCCCAACTGTGACCTTGCTGAGATCCATATCCCCCTACCTCAAGCCTGTGGCCAGCATGGAGTCAAGGAGTTCTCGGATGTCTCGGGTCATCTGGGGGCCCATGGCCTTGGCCAGCATGCTGATACAGGTGAACACAGCAGGGTCCACCACGAAATTCCGATGCTTCCTGAGACAGGTTACAAACAAAAATCATAGCAGCTTCTTTCTGATCAAACAATTTCAGAACCAAGTGGGCTAACAATATTGTTTCAAATTTGGTCCCCGATTCCATGACTTTTGACAAGGTGGTGATGATTGAGGGTGATTTCTTTTCTGAGAGAAGACCGCCTCCGTGTCTAATGGTACAGTGTCTGTCCGTAGAGGAGTAGGTCAGGAGCTTGATCCCCGGCCACGTGATACCAAAAGACATTAAGATATGGTACTTGTTGTTACCCTGCCTGGCATTAAGGGGCTAAAACAAGGACTGGTTGGCTTGGAGTCAGTATACTGTGTCTGAGTGGGGTATTCATGTTAAACTGTGGCATGGTGTCTCAGTGTGCTAGCACTATAAAATCTGCATTAGTCTTGACAAGTACAAGCAGCCACCCACCCCACTCCACCCCACCCCACCCATCTTCTCGAGGCAAGTGAGTTAACTGACTACAAAAGTCCAGTTTCCACCTGGCTGGTATTATGGAGTTACATTTTGGCTGGACTAACGAGTCTTTGCATAGTCCAATCAAAATCGCATGACTAAATTGAATTCCGGTTTGTAAACTGTCATACTAATCTCGGTCTATTGCAGGATTTGCAAAGCATGTGCACCACTAACTCATTGTAAACATATATTTTCTAAATCTTTTCATGTTTTTAATCAAGGCGCTCACGTGATTTTCTGCACTTCGCGATGCCAGACTCGTTTATTCACAATACAGATTGTTGATCAGATCGTCTTGACTGGGTGCCGCCATTTTGTTAGAGGTGAGGTGAAATGGGGTTTAACGTCGCGTCCAAGAATAATGGGTTTTTCAGATTAAAAACGATGTTTTATTGGTCTGTTTTCTGTCGTACAAATGGGTATCTCTCATACCCTCACGTCTAGTCGCACGTTTAAAAGGAAGCCAGAAGCTGGAATGTAAACATTAAACTTGTTTCCGTCCGGTTGCACACGCACCGCCCTATGACATGTCACAAATCTTGAAGAATAAGCCATCAAGCAGGACTGTGGGGATGGCTGGGTGGGAACATACGACTGAAAACAGACCAATAAAACATCGTTTTTAATCTGAAAACCCCATGTTTTAGTCTGTTTTCAGTCGTACAAATGGGTTGAATTCGACGGAACGTTGAAAGGAGGGTCGGGAAAGTAATCAGGCAGTGACCTCTTCCACGTCGAATGTACCAAGTTCCTCACCCCTGTAGTGACAATAGAACTCCAACAACGGTGATGGCGGGGGAAGGGACCTCACTTCCTCCCCCGCTGGCTCTTTCCCCCTCTGGGATACTTGGAAAAGGAGACCTGGCGACCTTTCCTGTCCGAATCTATCTTGCAGGTTGGCTGTCGAGACACGTCCACATTCTCGTTTCGGTAACGTCGTCGTGGGGTGTTCGAAACCTGTCTGGACAGGTTGTGTGAAGACGAAATGATGATGTCACGCTCGGCCTCCCTGGAGTACTTGTCCAGAACTTCGTTGGTACGACCGTCAAACAACTGTTGCGATGACCACGGGGCCCGTAAGAGTGACCTGCCATGACGATCAGGTAGGTCAGTGCAGTCGATGTAACCGCGGCGACGTGCCGTAGTAATCTGGACTGGGCGAGGACTTCTGAGATCCACCGTTGCATACAGGTGAGGACCGATGGCACCGTCCTGTCGTCCCAGTCCTGGGGTTCTTTCTCCTCAAAGTCCACTGAGAGGGCCTAAATTGCTGTCCACAGCATAGCAAGCGGTTGTAGCTGGTGACGAACAGCAGTGTCCATGGATTCCAAATGCCTGTCTTCTACTAGAATCTTGGAGGGCGCTGGTTTCTTGAAGAGTAGCCCCCAATCCAAGTCTCTAGTCATGGGTGACGAAAACGGCATGCCATAAATCGGGTAACGAGATCGACCAGGCAGCTTGCAGAAACTCTGCCCAGGCAGAGCAGAGGCAAAGTTCTAGTCCATATCTTGAGCCATGGCTCTGAAGGCATCGGGAGGAGAAAACTGAAGAGACTGTGGTGTATCTCCGACCTTAAAGCCCGCACGCGTCGGTTTGTCATCATCTTGTGATAACTCAGGCAGAAAGTTAGATAGCCAAGCAAACAACTCAATGACTTTGGGAGGCCTAGGAGGGCTGTCGTCACAATCCATCGTCGAAGTCGATTGTGGAGGCGTAGATGAAGGAGCTGGTGTACTGGTTGACGGTCCATAGACCCCCGACGCAGTCGAATCCTTCGATGAACGCCCTCGTGTCGTGTACTGTCTCTCGACGAGGCACTCGACCTGTTGTCCCGACTTGAATGGGAACGACTTCTGTGTCCACTGTTGTCCTGCACGACGACCCTATCGTCATTGGTAGAACGAGATACGGACTGACTGGGGACCGTAGTCACCTCATGGTCCTCGTCACCACCCGGGCCCGTCGTAACTGGGGAGGCTGAGTGACGCTCTCGATCAACCGATTGAGGAAGATCAGTTGTGCGGGTAGTATCATCAGCAGGCGAACGGTCACGTGGCTTGTCAAAAACAGAAGTTGACTGAGGCGGGTCTTTATCAACTGATTTCTTGGGTGTGGCCGACTCGCCACCCCCAGGGCCGGATGTGGAGGGTGCAGAGTCCAAGGATCCACCCGATGACCTTCTCTGCTTGTAGCGCTGGTCAGCAGCCCACTTCGCCAATGCACGAAGATACAAGTTAAAGTTAATAGAAGACAAGTGCTCACATTCTTTACAACGTTTATCCCACGAACACGTTGAAAACCCGTCCTTAATGATGCAGGAAGGACAATACTTGTGATGGTCTACTTTAGAGAGTTTTCTTTGACACGAGGCACAAATGCCCGACATGTTGCGACGTGTATAATCAAGTCAAACAGTGAAACACGTGTTGAACGCAAACAATGGATTACCAAGGATTACATTCCAGGAGTCTACAGGTAAGACATATTTAATATTATTATTACTTTATTAGAACAACAACTGTAGACAAGCAATAAGTACTAGTAGAATACAAACTAGCAGTCTACCGCGAAAGACTTTCTCGAGCGACCAGCTCAGAGGCGCGCTGAGAGATTTGTGACATGTCATAGGGAGGTGCGTGCGCAACCGGACGGAAACAAGTTTAATGTTTGCATACCAGCTTCTGGCTTCCTTTTAAACGTGCGACTAGACGTGAGGGTATGAGAGATACCCATTTGTACGACTGAAAACAGACTTAAACTTGCACTTACATAGTGACGTGCATGTATGTGTATATGTTTGTGTGGCTGCTTGTACTAGACCAGACTGATGCCGATTTATAGTGCTAGCACACTGAGATACCATGCCGCAGTTTAACTCCGAGCCGACCAGTCCTTGTTTTAGGCTCTTAATGCCGAGCGCCAGACAGGGTAACAACAAGTACCATATCTTAATGTCTTTTGGTATCACTTGGCTGGGGATCAAACTCCTGACCTTCTCCTCTACGGATAATAGCCACTGGTGGAGCTCCGATCGAGCCAAGGAATTCCAGCCTTGTTTGGCAAGGGTTGAAACTGGACTTTTGAAGTCAGTTAACACTCTTGCCTCGGGAAGATGCACCCCACCCCACACACACACATTACTCAAGTGCAATATTAGCAGCATTTAACCCCATCTCACCTCACCTCACATTCTTCTGAGAGAAAAGAGTTTGCAAACTGAGGAGATGAATCATCCTCTTTCGTGTTAAAACAAATGATGATGTGTGATGACTATTTTCTTCATGATACACATGTAGGAAACTGGTACAAAGTTTATCAACAGTTAAAATGTGCTGGGAAGGGACATATTTGGTTGATCTTACTTTGCGGAGTAATCTTTTGGTGGGAGAGACGCTCTGATGACCTCCATGATGCGAGACAGGTGTTGGCTGATCTCCCCCTGCACCGAGATAGCAAGAAGCCCAACAGCCTGGAAGGCTTGCGTGCGGTCCCGCTCACGTTTCAACGTCCCCAGCAGGAAGTTGATGGTGTCTTGTAAATATCTGGTAAACAGCATCTAGGGTTAAGTGAGGTTCTCTTAAATATTTAAGTAAGCATAGGTAACTTCTATCTACGTAATGCCTTGCCATGAGCAGGCTGCAGTTTCAGATAGTGTGTAGAATACTAACCCGGGAAGATCCGGCGTAAAATAGGTCTTCAGCAACCTATGCTTGCTATAAAAGAAGATTGTGCTTGTCGTAAGAGGCGACTAACAGGATCGGGTGGTCAGGCTCATTGACTTGGTTGCTGCATCTCATCCTATCATAATTGTGTGGATCGATGCTCATGTTGTCAATCACTGAACTTTCTCTGGTCCAGGCTGATTATTTACAGACCACCGTCATAAGGCTGAAATATTGCTGAGTGTGGTGTTAAACAACAAACAAGCAAACAAACAAACAACTAATACTCACGTTTTAGAGAAGAATTGTGAGTTGAATGCTGCCAATCGTGGCAGGACCATGAGAAGAGACTGCTGTACATAGACACTGCGACTCGTCCGGTGCTTCAATATCAGGTGACATACCTGCAGGAAAACAAGTTACTATCGTTACTGTCCAAGGATACCTTATGACAGTTTTAAAAGTTTTCATTCCAGGACACATTATTGCAAAAAACTACATGAATTTGGATATTCATGATATTAGTATACCTATCCTACACATTGCAATTTCCTTCTCGACTTCGATCCTATAACCCCAAACCCAAAACATGCATCTTCCTCCTCTGGGCCGTCCCCAGCCCTTGGATTCCAACAAGAGTTATCTGTCCCTGATCCCTTAACTGTCTCTGCATCAGCGCTTCGCTTGAACATCAGACGGGGGATGGACGTTGTGTCAGGATAAGAAATAATCTACATGAATTTGGATATTCATGTTATTAATATAGATATTACATTAGACTGAGGCCCTCCCGTCCGACCTCTGTCTGAAGTGCTGATGAGAAGACTGTGAAGGGATCAGGGGCAGATAACTCCTGCTGCTCAGGGCGCCCTAGAGGAGGAAGAAGCATTTGTGGGGTTTGAGGTTTGGGGTTAAAGGATCAAAGTCCAGAAGGAAATTGCAATGTGGATAACAAATAATCATCATTCACATCAACTGATTGTGAAATGTCTTGAAAATAGTGAAACACAAATCAAACTTCCAATTTGATGACAGTAGTACTTGTAATAGTACAGTACAGTCAATATTGCTTATGACATCATTACATTAACACATGATAGAGTGGATGTGTATTGTTCAATATCAAAGTAAGCAATGTTCCAGTGACATGAAATATACCAACACAACTCAAACGAGTGTTTATATATTTAATTTCAAAAGACACAAGGGTGAGATTCTATTTATCATCCAAAATCATTCTTCCAACTTTTTCAGTTTGGAAACAGTCACAAGCAGGCTAAAGAGTACAGCTAACCAGTTCAGTGGCAGAGTGATTAGTGCCAAAAGTTATGTTTTAGTCTGTTTTCAGTCGTACAATTGGGTATCTCATACCTCTAGTCGCACGTTAAAAGGAAGCCAGAAGCTGGAATGTAAACAATAAACTTGTTTCCGTCCGGTTGCGCACGCACCTCCCGATGACATGCCACAAATCTCTCAGCGCGCCTCTGAGCTGGTCGCTCGAGAAGGACTATCGCGATAGACTGCTAGTTTGTATTCTACTAGTACTTATCGTGTGTCTACAGTAATAATAAAATGTCTTACCTGTAGACTCCTGGAATGTAATCCTTGGTAATCCATTGTTTGGGTTCAACAGGTGTTTCACTGTTTGCCTTGATTATACACGTGGCAACATGTCGGGGCTTTTCTGCCTCGTGTCAAAGTATACTGTCTAAAGTAGATCCTCACAAGTATTGTCCTTCCTGCATAATTAAGGACGGATTTTCAACGTGTTCGTGGGATAACCGTAAAGAATGTGATCACTTTAATTGGTATCTTCGTGCGTTGGCGAAGCGGGCTACTGACCAGCGCTACAAGCAAAGTAGGTCATCGGGTGGATCCCTGGACTCTGCAGCCTCTACATCTGGCTCTGGGGGTGGCGCGTCGGCCACTCCCAAGAAATCAGTTGATAACGACCCGCCCCAGTCAACTATGTTTTCGACAAGACACGTGACCGTTCGCCTGCTGATGATACTACCCGCACGACAGATCTTCGTCAATCGGTTGATCGAGAGCGTCACTCAGCCACCCCCGTTACGACGGGACCGGCTCGTGACGAGGACCATGAGGGGACTACGGTCCCCAGTCGGTCCGTCTCTCGTCCTACCAACGACGATAGGTCGACAGTGAACACGGATCCCACTCTACAAGTCGTTCCCGCCCCGGGACGACAGGTCGAGTGCCTCGTCGAGAGACAGTAAACGACACGAGGACGTTCGTCGCCTTCGAGGTCGTCGGGAGTTCGATTCGGACGACAACTACGATGGGGATCGTAGTACTTCTACAGTTAGAGATCGTAGCCCTCGTCCCCACGGGGACGTGCCACGCTCTCCAAGGGAGTTTTTGGGAGATCAGCGTCCTAGAGATTATGATCGATCGTCACCCTCGTCTCACTTTCATATCAACCCGGCTTTGATAGGCCAGATGACGGCGGCAGTACTCGCCTTGACAGCGTCGACCGAGAAGGGTTCGACTACGTCGGAGGTCCATGGACGATCGTCCTGTACACCGGTTCCTTCATCTACGCCTACACAATCGACGTCGACGATGGATTGTGACGACAGCGTCGTAGAGATAATGACCGATCGACACCCTCGTCTCACTTTCATATCGACCCGGCTTTGATAGCCCAGATCACGACGGCGGTACTCGCCTCGACGGCGTCGACCAAGAAGGATTCGACTACGTCGGGGGTCCATGGACCATCGACCAGTACACCAGTACCTTCATCTACATCCACACAATCGACGTCTCCTCCCGATGTCTTCAGAGCCATGGCTCACAATATGGACCAGAACTTGCCTCTGCTCTGCCGGGGCAGAGGTTCAGCAAACCACCTGTTCGATTGCGTTACCCGATCTCTGGCATGCCGTTTTCGTCACTCATGAGTAGGGACTTGGATTGGGGGCTACTCTTCAAGAAACCAGCGCCCTCCAAGATTCTTGTAGTAGACAGGCATTGGGGATCCATGGACACTGCTGTTCGTCTCCAGCTACAACCGCTTGCTATGCTGTCGACAGCGAGCCAGCGGGGGAGGTCGTGAGGTCCCGTCGTCGGAGTCTACTACCTTTAGACGAGCTACCGGTAGGGGGAAGACTTCATTACACGGATCATGAAGACGGTCGTAGAATGGCTCCATCGGCAGGCGATCAGGGTCGCCTTCTACCTAGACGAGCCGTCTCTTACGGGCGAGAGGCTCACTAAAATACTGGAATTGCAGAAAATTCTACGTGCCTTCATGGTTGAAGATGAGTCACATTAATTCCAAATGCCGGCCTGGGACCTCGATATCGTTCTGTGCTACCTGTCTAGTTAGATTTATGAGCCTCTCGATCAGGTCGCCTTCGACATTGTCTCAGACAAGAAGTATTGCTCGTATTTTTTAGTAACCTTGTATACTGCGAGTTGCTCTGTAACTAAATTATGCGCCGACCACACTTCGATCGCAGTTGTCCTGTCGCATCGATAATTAGTAGTGTGTCGAAGAGCATTAAACATGCTGTTGTAGTTACCTTGCCTACGACGAGTCTTTCTGTAACTACATTATAAGCCGACCACGCTTCGATCGCAACTCAACTGACGTGTGCAGTTGTCCTGTCGCATCGATACTTACTTGTGGGTCGAAGAGCCTTAAACATGCTGTTTTAGTTACCTTGTATACTGCGAGTTGCTCTGTAACTAAACTATACATCGACCACTCTTCGATCGCAATTCAACGGCCGTGTGCTGTTGTCCTGTCGCATCGATACTTACTTGTTAGTCGAAGAGCATTAAACATGCTGTTTTAGTTACCTTGGATACGACGAGTCGTTCTGAAACTGAATTATATGCCGTCCACACTTCGAACGCAATTCAACTGTCGTGTGCAGTTGCCTTGTCGCATCGCTACTTACTTGTGGGTCGAAGAGCATTAAACATGCTGTTTTAGTTACCTTGTATACTGCGAGTTGCTCGGTAACTAAACTATACGTCGACCACATCGATCGCAGTTCAACTGACGCGTGCAGTTGTCCTGTCGCATCGATAATTAGTTGTGTGTCGATGAGCGTTAACCATGCTGTGGGTTCGTGATAAACAATTTGTCTCGTCCGTGCATCTGGTCGAATGTTCTATTGTCACTACAGGGGTAAGAATCTTGGTACATTCGACGTGAAAGAGGTCACCTCCTGATTACTTTCCCGACCCTCCTTCCAGTGTTCCGTCGAATTCTACCCAATTGTACGACTGAAAACAGACTAAAACATTGGTTTTTCAGATTAAAAACGATGTTTTATTGGTCTGTGTTCAGTCGTATGTTCCCTCCCAGCCATCCCCACAGGGAAGTAATCCAGTCCAGTCCTGCTTGATGGCTTATTCTTCGAGATTTGTGGCATGTCATCGGGAGGTGCGTGCGCAACCGGACGGAAACAAGTTTATTGTTTACATTCCAGCTTCTGGCTTCCTTTTAATGTGCGACTAGAGGTATGAGATACCCAATTGTACGACTGAAAACAGACCAATAAAAATGTATTTTTTAGAGTAAAAATATCATTTATACTTATCCTGACTCACACTTATTGCTTATCTCTCTCTCTTCCGAATAGGTAGTGGGAAATTCCTGTGCTGTTCCCAAAGAACAGAGAATACAGCTCACCCAAACACACCCTAATTCCACCCATGCGCACTGGAACCATGTGACTAAGCCCAGTAACTCATCACTCTCTCTTATTTCCTACTTAATGGTCGGAACACATCAGTGGAAAGAGGGAAGGCCGGGAGGGTACTCATTCGTATGAGTCAGGATAAGTATAAATGATATTTTTACTCTAAAAAATACATATTTTATCTTATCCTGACTCATACTTATTGCTTGAATCTCACAGTAGGTGGTCGGTTCAACCTGTATGTGTGATTAACGTCGATCTGTTCTATAAACCCCATAGGAACGTTGTTAATCGTCTGTGTAAATTCTTAATTGGGGACCACCTTCCTTTTTTGTGAGCAGCAAAATGGAAGTAAATCGTATAGATTTGTGGATTTATAAGGTTTCTAAGATAAATCTTGTTCACCTTAAATGATTCAAGTGTTAAGAGAAGAGCAATAATCTTAACACAATCATTTCTCACTCATGTGCTGAATTACATAGTAAAACAGGGGGCATGGACTCTCAGTCGTTGGTTATGGAACAGTAACCTGACGTCAACAAGTCTACGTGATATTGGGTGAGTGTGATCTTCTAATGTCGTCTGGTAGGATTCGTGAGTTGTTGTGCAACAACTAATGGTCTGAATTGGTGAATACCAGCTAAGTCTTCTGTAGCAAGGTCTCTGAGGTAGTGATTGGCGAAAACTGTATCTGATTTCCAGAAACAGCCTTCCATAATAGTTGT